AGTGTCTCTTGACACTGCCTTAGTTCAAAGTCGCATCAGCTTATCCTCCCATGCCTCCATAATCTTTTTTTTTTTTTGAGATGGAGTCTTGTTCTGTTGCCAGGCGCCAGGCTGGAGTGCAGTGGTGCAATCTTGGCTCACTGCAACCTCCGCATCCTGGGTTTTAGCCATTCTCCTTGCCTCAGCCTCCCAAGTAGCTGGGATTACAGGCACGCACCACATGCCCAGCTAATTTTTGTATTTTTTAGTAGAGACGGGGTTTCACCATGTTGGCCAGGTTGGTCTTGATCACTTGACCTCGTGATCTGCCCACCTCGGCCTCCCAGAGTGCTGGGATTACAGGCGTGAGCCACCGCACCCTGCCCGTAATCGTCTTTCTAAAGTAAAATCATGGCACTTTCCTCCTCAAAGCCTTTCAAAGGCTGACCATCACCTTCAAGATCAAATTCAAGTTCAATAATTAATACATGAAGCCAAGAGTGATATTCAAAATAGTTAACCACCTCTGTAGTTTTTCCTGACTCTCACTGGACGTTAGCCAAATAAAACAAACTCCAGGCAGCATGCTGGGGTGGGGTCTTGCAGGCTCCCTTGTTGGGGCGAACATTAACCCTTTAGCTGCTTGTTGTAGGGAAATCCAAGGGTCCCCAGGGAGGTGCCAGGGTTACAGGGGGCACTTCAGGGGCTTGAGTCAAGTAGCTGTTTTCCAACCAAGATGGAGGCATTATCGCATTTTAAGTCAGTATGGCCGTGCCGAGTGTACCAGCAGACAGCCGATTTTGAACGTTTCTTGCCAGTCCCCACTTCTCCCCAGGAGAGGTGCTGGCCCTTTGCAAATGCAGTCTCCTTTGCCTGGAATGCTCTTCCCTGTATGTGTCCTCTGTAGCTCACGTGTCATCTGAAGGCAAGCTTCCTCAGCCTCCAGCTATAAGTAATGTGGTCCTTTCACGGGGATCTCAGCACGCCCTGTGCGTAATCACACAGACAGTCTCTTCTTCCCGCTCTCTTCCATTGGCAGGGTCCTTACCTTGTTCCTCACTGTCAAATAATTCATAAACATTTGTTCAATTGAAAGAAAGTGAACCTTAGAGCTGCGAGGAGCCTATTGTCCATGACTCAGGACAAATCCGTGCGGGTTTCGTTGCAGCCACAGTGACTCAGCGGCATTTTCTGTACAATGAATGACCGCACACAGCACACAGGATCCTCTCCACAATTTGTGATTGTGTACCCTTCCCAATAAGCGGTCCCTTTGGGCATTGCTACACACACGCTTATATGTAACTCTATTAATAAATTTTACTCACACCCATTAAGCTAAAATGTTATGTACATTTAAAAACTAACGTTTTGTCTCAAAAAAAGAAAAAAACCTAATATTTTGTCAGGCTGAAGTGTAAAAATAAAAAGATTGAAATTTTTTAAAGGTAAAAAAATGAGAAAAACTTTTTGGGATAGTATAACACACACACACACATTCATTCATTTCAAGGATAAAATAATGATATACACAGCGTCCTAAACGCTTCACACCTCAATGAGCATCTTTTGCCCCGCACTAGAGGTTGCTGCAGAGGTGCTGTGTGTCAAAGTCACCGTACACAGGTCCGTGCAGCACTGCGTCCTGGACAGCCAGTCTCCACCTGCCAGAATTCTACGTTCAAAGTCCAGCTCGGATGCTAAAAGCAAACTACCAATATACCCGGAAGCTGTGTTAGACACCACATATTCTAATCTCTATAGGACACAGAAAAAG